ATGGTAGAGGTCGCATAAGCATGATTTGTGAATGAACATTGGAGAACTGATCATTCAGTCCTCTAAGAAATCTTATTGCTCGATCCTTTTCTCTTCCTTCTCGTACACGAGTGGATATTCCACAGTTACAAGGAATAGCACAAGTGCAAGTAGGGAGAGGTTGTAAAGTTTCAAGTTCGTCCCAGAGACCTTTGATTTGAGTGTAGAAATCTGATATTGTTCTTTCTCCTTGATGAATTCTATAGATCTCTTCTTGAAGGTCTGAAATGCGAAAAACATCAGCCTGCGAAAATCTTTGATACAGATCGTTCCAAACTTCCACAGCATTTTCACTCCATAACACTGACTGCAGAATTGTGTCATTTATCGAACGATGGATCCAAGAGAGGATCATCACATTGCACCTTTGCCATGCATCATACATATCGTCTGTAGGATCAAGAACATTGATTGTGCCATCCAAAAAACAGAATTTATTCTTCGAATGCAGCGCCATCTTTAATGCCCAAGACCAAGAATGATAATTCTTTCCATTAAGCTGAGTTGAAACAAGATTCAGCGTAGGATTCTCACTCGGATGTAAAAAGTATGGATTCGCTGGGTTTGTAAAGTAATCTGGAAGAGGATTAACATTTGCCATATTTCTATAGTGCAGAAATTAGCAAGAAACTGTAAGAAAGAAAGAAAAAGAAGATGAACCAGATGAATACCAGAGCTCATATGAGCTCTGATACCATATTATGAATGAAGAAACTCATTGCATTGATTGATAAAAAAAAAAAAAATAAGTACAAAGTGCTAAGGCTACTGCTATATATATCAGTGAGCCTATGTACAAATCAGGAACGAAAAACTAACTAAATCTAACAAACTAGTTAACTTAGCATAAACAGAAATATAACTAACTAATTATAACTGACTACCAGACTTGGCATTTATATGTTAATATGTAGTTGTTACAGTCGTATGTCATACATAATAATAAATAATTGCACATATTACCCAATAAAGTAATGAAACTCAGTAGTTGATTCTAGAAAGTCGCAACTCCCTTGCGTAGTTGACCATACAAAGACAATGGTGCAATCAAAAGCCCTTGATTTAATTACAATACAATAATTACGATGACGTGCATCGAATCTCAAAATGTTGTGGTGTTTATAGATTATAGTATAAGACAGAATCTAAACTCCATTTTTCTTTCAAAATTATCTTACAGCACGAAAGGGCAATATACATTCACAGCTATAAGCATTAAGACAGATAACTGAAAATAAAATCACGGACGTAAGAATTCAATTGAATATTTTGTATAAAAATGGAAATCTCAGTTAAAAGTCAGATTTATTTAATTTCTTTCGTGTCAAGGGCATTGGTTGATAACTTTTTTATATATGTTTTCGTTAATCAAAACCGTTAATTCTCAGCTCTGCCGCCTGGTATTTTGTATTGTCATCATTCTTCAAACTTTAACAGTTTCACCTAAAAATGAAGACTATAATCGTTCCTCACTGATCAGTTTCAACTTTCCATTAAATCTCTTATTTCCTTTTCTTATCACCAACAGAATATGCACTTTTTAGAAACATTATCACAGTTCTTATGCAAGAACTGGCTAGCTTTCAATATTAAGAAATGCTGTTTTAGTATATTCATATGGATCATAATTTTTAACCCAAAACACTTGCGTAAAAGGATGTTTTAAAAGAGGTATAATATAAAATTATTGATAGATCTCTACTTACCGATTTAAGTTTGTAGGTTAAAACGGTTCTTTATCTAAAACAATACAATTATATTAAAGTCATATTTTGATGAACATGTTAATTAAACCGTTTATACAATCAAAATGAAATCATAAAACTGAAAAGCCAAAAAAACTTAATGCTCTTAAAAGTTATGATGACCTACACATCAAAAGAACAATTTTCTAATAGAATGAAAGAATAAAAACATACCTTTTTGGCGGAGGGGACAAGACCACGTAGTGTTGCAAATTGAGCGTTTATTTTGTCCCTCCTCCTCCTCTCTGCTTCTCTATGCCTCTTCATAGCAGCTAAAGCTTTGGCCTCAGAAATCTCATTTTTTCCTACCCTTTCAGTTGCACTGCACTCCACCAGCTCTCCCTTCTCACTCTCAAAAACCAATGAATATTGGGATGATGACAACCCACCTCGCGAAACATCATTGGAAGCTCCAAGGTTATGCAAAGTGGGATTGAACAACATCGAAATATCAGAGTCAGATGAAGATTTTTTGTCTGAGTAAAACATGGTCCTGAACCTAGCTAGTAGTGGAGTGGTACTACTTTTAGGGAGAAGGGACAAGGTTGCGAGATATGTCTTATAGGTGCTTATGGAAATCACAGAAGGCTTCAGGAAGATAAAGATCACCACTTGGTAGGCACTGTTCTGGAACTGTATATATGTATGGCAGAGAAACATTAATGTTTTGTAATGTTGACTACATTTATATAGGGAAAAAACGTTTATCGTTTTAATGGATATAATTTTGTATCATTTTAAATTTTAACTATTAATTTTCGTCAATTAACAGTTAGGATTAATTGAATTTTATTGCGAATTAATAATTAATTAATAAGTTTGATCCAATAAATTCTAATCCTTAATTGATAGAAATAAATGGTTAGAATATAAAATGACATAAAATTATATCCTTTAAAATGATAGATTTTTTTATATATATAGTGTTCATTATTTTATTTTTTATTTTTTGGTGTTGACATTGTGATTGTATGCATGGTTGAAGTCATGTACCTTCGCCGCAACTTCCTTCACGTACGGTGTGTAAATATATTTTAGCTCTTACCTTTGAATTTTAAATATTTCAGTCATCACCAGTAGGCTAGTTGCAGCAAATAAATATAACAAAAAAAAGTCTTCATTGGGTTAAAGCATTTTTTTAGTTATATGGGAGGGTTGAAATCTTGATAAAGAAATGGTGAAAGTCAAGTTATATGATTGGGGTTGGAATTCTTTATATTTGTTATGATTGTTTTCTTCATAAATACGTTTCTTTAGGAGTAGCTAATAACACACCATTTTTTTTTGAAATATTTCAATAGCTTCATTACTTCGCAACTAATCCGATTCGGGGCGGGTTCAGGATTAAGGTTTTAAATCCCTCCCAAAGATGATACTGAAGAGATTCAAACACATGCTCTCATCCCCACCTGCTTAGCTCTCATGCGCCAACTGAACTACCACCGTTCGATAATAATACACACAATTTCAATCAAAATATTTAGAGTGAAACTTAATTTTTAATGAATTTAAAAAAATATATCTTCGTTTTTTTAAGAGAAAAGTTCACCAATGTCCATCTAATTTGCTTCAGAATCACTTATGCACCTGTGGTTTTTTTTGTTTGCAAAAGGATATGTTTTTTTATCACATATGCCCCTGTGGTTTTTTATTTTTTATAAAACAAAGGAGCATGTGTGATAGAAAAAACCACAGAAACATAAGTAATTTTAAAGCAAACCACATGAACATTGGTAAACTTTTCCTTTTTTTAAATCTCAAAAAAAATTGTGACGCTCTACTCGAGCTAAATTTAATATACAAGCGTCTATTAATTTATTTGTTTTCTTATAAAGCCTGTGACTCATCTATGAGCCTAGTGGAGGAGCTACTAACATAAAATAATTATTGATTTCAGATTTCCATTTTATTAATACTAAAATTAACTCTTCAAATGTGATTAGGCGAATACCATTGCGTGTTTAGTAGAGAAAATATTTTTTTTATTGAAAAAAAAGATTTTTAAAAATATGGTAGAAAAAAAATTCCGGATTAATTATAAAAAAGTGTTTGGTAGGTCCAACATTTTTTCGAAAATATTGGGTTAATTATACTGATACTGTGGGAAAATAAAAGAAAAAAGTTCACCAATGTCCCTGTAGTTTATTTCAAAATCATCTATGCTTCTGTGATTTTTTTATCACATATGTCCCTGTACTTTGTAAAAAATAAAAAATCACAGGAGTATATGTGATAAAAAAACATACCCTTTTGCAAATCACAATGACATATGTGATAAAAAAAAAAATCATATGGACATAAGTGATTCTGGAAAAAATCACAGGGACATTGGTGAACTTTTTCCAAAATAAAAATATCATATATCAGATGATTTTTTCGTTTGGGATTCTATAGTTAAAATTGAAATGATGAGGAAAAAAAATTTCCGGTAATATTTTTAGTTTTTTCATACCAAACGTTGAAAAAAATTTTGCCTCACCCCACTTTTCCAAAATTTCTAAAAAAATTCTCATACCAAACCGCCCCAATTAGGCTTCGTGTTTATAAAACGAAGAAAGATGCAAGTCAATCCAAGGAAAATATATCTATTATAACAATTATTTAGTTAACTAAGTATTTTTGTTGTCATAAAAAAGAAGCAACATTCTTGATTTTTAAAATAACTGCTTGAAGAGTAAAATATATATATATATATATATATATATATATATATATATATATATATATATATATGTATTGTTGTCATCTTATATAGTTGAATTATGCTGGAAGAGTAAGTTGTCCAAAATAATAAATATATGTATTTGAAAACAACATCTGAACTTAATAGTAAGTTCGTTGTGATTTTGGGCCCATGACCTTTTGTCTACAAAAAAAAAAAAAAAAATTGTTGTGATTTTCCTTAGTATTTTACATAAATTTCTTTAACCCGGTTTACAACACAGATTCATTTGGAAATCTCAATAGCCATAAAACACGTGACATTGCAGATTAATTCAAACTTCAAAGGACAGAAATAGTAAGTGCCAAAAAATTAGATCTTGTATCAATTTTCAAGGACACAAGTTTTGGTTTTTACCAGAATCAATTACATATACTCATTTCAGACAATGAGCATACAATTAGAAGTGTTATATTTTTTTAATTAAGAATGCTATTTGCTTTTTATTCAACAGTCCTGTCCTGTTGCCAAGTTTGTTTAAGATTGTTCTTGCTATATTCAGTTACAATTTATAAGAACTTCTTACTCTGATTGACAACATGCCAAATTCGAACTTTCACCAGCATGAACATGATCTGTTGGCATCCCCTGCAAAGTAAACAGAGGCTGAGAAGGAAGAGCATCTTGGAACTCAGATTCTCCTTCAAGCATCTTTATTACTTCATTCATTGAAGGACGATCATTTGGCTTCATCTGTATGCAATGTAAAGCTATTACTATCATCTTATTTGCTATCACCTTTTCCTCTTCTGTGACATTACTCAAATCTATCATTTCCTCAAATTGGTCATAAACCCATTTAGCAAAGTAGGTCTGCCAAGAGTACTCCATAGCATTCAAGTTCTTTCTTCTACCTGCCATCTCCATCAATAGCATCCCAAAGCTATAAACATCAGCTTTGTATGAGATGCCTCCAATGTTTTTGTAGAGCAATTCAGGTGCCATGTAACCCATTGTTCCTCTTGCCACTGTTAAAGACACAATGCTATCATCTATTGGATATGACTTTGCAAGTCCAAAGTCCGAGATCTTTGGATTAAAATCATCATCAAGAAGAATGTTATGAGGTTTGATATCAAAGTGTAGAATATGCATATCACAACCTTCATGTAAGTATTCAATTCCACGAGCCACCCCAAGAGAAATATTATAGATTTTCTCATAGCTTATTGATATATTCCCTTGTTCTTGTGAAAATATGTGCTTGTCTAGAGAACCATTAGGCATGTACTCATAAACAAGAGCTCGCTTAGTTCTTTCTGCACAAAATCCAATCAATTGCACTACATTGATGTGACGAATCTTTCCAATAGTGACAACTTCATTTATGAACTGTTGCTCATTTGGTTTTTTGGACTTGCCTAATATTTTCACAGCAACATCACGTTTACTTTGGAGCTTTCCTTTATAGACATAGCCATAGCCTCCTTCACCTAACTTGTGCTTGAAACCTTTGGTCATTTTCTTTATATCAGAGTAAGAGTACTTGATGGGTGTTAGATTACTGTGATTTTGGAGAAAATCCTCGACCTCTTCACACCCAGATTGATCCCTCCTCCTCCATTTATAAATCAAGAATGCAACCACAAATGGGGGACCAAGTGCAAGTTTTAATGCAAACCATGAGAGCACTGTGCACAAGATTTGAACATCAGCATTAATAACCACTTAATATTTTCACTTACAAAGATGTATAAATTGTAAACTTAGTAAAGAAAATCAGAACTTATTCTTACTATTACTAAGGCAAACTTTTAAATTCATATGTAGGTGGAGATAGAGATAGAGATCTTACAGCTATAAATTGGGATAACCATAACTCCCGCTGAAAGTATAACACACAGAGAAGGGAAAATTATCAGGACAAAACAAACTGCAACCAGAATTATAAATTACAAAATACAAACAGTTAGAAAAAGATACAAATCACATATTAACTGATCAAGCAAATTCTATTGTAGACTTGTAGAGATGTTGTTTAAGTTTAATTAGTTCAGAAAAAGAGAAGTACAATCAGGATACAGGAATGCACACAATGTAGTTAAAAGAAAAAATTGACAATGAGTCCCATGTCTTGGTTGATCTTGTCAATTTTCTAACTAAACATACTCAGGAGGAAACTGATTATTAATTCTGCACAAAAAAAAATTAGTTAGATGTAGTTTGCTTACCATTGAGCCCGTCTGCCAGAAAATCTGCATAGTAAAAAAATTAATTAAAAAAAATGTTTGAACAACAGAAAGAACATCCATTTTTGCTAATTCCATTTTTTCCTTGAAAATACCAAAAGTAAATTGTTGCAAACTCACTTGAAATACTTCGCAAAAAACCTACTTCATAAGGGCAAAACACCATGTTGGAGGAGTTGTCCAAGAAGCAAGTACCATCTCCACCATCCCATTCTCCACATAGATTGGCTCGCCATTTGAGCTGAATCCCCTTCACCTCCTCACTCTGCAATATCTCTGTATAAGAACAGTTCTTATTGCATGTCACTGGTCCCCACGGTAACACCTTGATCATCATGTCCACGCTGCATGACTCAGCCACATATGATACTTCTCCTTCCCATGGCAGAACATAAGAATAAGGCCTCTTAGTGGTTCCAATTGCACAAGGAGTTGAAACATCCGTGAAAGGAAAAGAACTAGGTTGGTTCTCACAGCTGATAAATATTATACCATCGGAATAATATCCCCTACCGTGTCCATCTATGTTCTCTAGTTTGCTTTCATGTTCAGAACTATATTTGGTGAAGTTACTGTTTGTGAGAGGAGCAAGAGTGAGTTTGGAGCAATTATTATTGTCAATTCCACCAATCAGGGATTGAGGAGTGGCATTATGGGATGTGGTAATGGCATGCACGAAGTGCCTGCCATAGTTTAAGTACAACACTGTTTTGTTGTCCTCACAAACAACCTCGTAAGTTGGATCATTGCAACTTCGACCTACTGGGCCTGTACCTGAGGGTATGTTAAATATGTGTCCGCAAGAATCAGTGTATAGCTTGGGTGAGGTTATGTAGAAGTAGAGAATGGGACCATATCTGTATAATAGTGAAACAAATGCGAGGAAGATGAAGGTTTCTCTTAGCATTATGGAGAGGTATCAGAACGCCGTATGGACTAGTGAGGATAGTGTTCGATTTTAGTGATAGTAGGTAATGATGATACTCAATTTTTTTAAGTCTTGTCTTTGACTTGAAGATAATAGTGGCAACTACCACCAATAATGGAAGATTTTTCTTCCATAATGTGCCAAAGCCATATCCAACGGCTGAATTTATATACTTTCAAAAGTTATGGGGTCCTATACCCTTATCCAACGGTGAATATATCCCCTTATACAAAAGTTGTCTGGTCCCTTTAGAGTTATCGCGGCACGTGAATATAGACTACTAGACACTGGTTTTCAAATGTTCACATTACTGTTGTTTCTCAATTCTCATTCCATGAATAGTAACGATATTTGCTTGATTTCTATGTTTACCCACAATTAACTTAGGAAAAAATTACTCTTATATAATATAAGAGTAGTTTTATCTTAAATAAATTCATTGAAAACAATGACATTTTTTTTTTATATAAATAGTAGACCTCATCACATATATATCTATAATATAAGATATTTTTTATCATGTAATAGAAGATTAGATGAACCGATTAACTTATCTGAGTTACAACCAGAACGAACACAATTTGTTGGAATTTGTACCTAGCAATGGGATGTTCTCTTATATTTTTCATATATAAAAAAAAGAGAGAAAAACTTTTAGAGATATAGTTAATGCGAAACAATATTTTTAAGCTATAAAGTATAAGAGTTATATTACTTTCATGTAATAGGAAATATATTATCTCATGTTATAAATACAATTATGTAGTGAGTTTTATTATTTATTAAAAAAGAAAAAAAGAAGCACAGAAATCGATAGATGTATAGGAAGTTATATTATCTCATGCAACATAAGAGTAATATAACCCAAAGTATAATGACATTAACCCAAAGTTTTAAGGTATTAGAGGAGAAAATTTTTAATAACTTATATTATTATCTAACATATACTTTCACATAAGAGCCATTTGAACTTTTTCTTTTTAATTTAACTTATGTTTATTTAATTTTACAAGTGGAGACGGTGAGGATCGAACTCGTAATAATTTCAATCCAAAATTTTAAGATATTGGATGAGTTATTTTTTAATGATTTATATTATTCTCTAACAATTTACAATAAAATATAATTATCTTTATTCTTTAACTTTAATCACTGCACGCGTGTGAAAAATATAAGATTGTAAAACCTGTCTTTGTTTTTAGTAAAATCTCGGTCTATACAGTGCTATTAAAATCGGGCCAACTCGGTCGGATCGACCCGGGAATCGGTGAACCAGTCATATAACATGTCCGGTTGAAGCAACAGACCGGTCACGCATCAGAACCAGTGTGACCCGGCCCGACCCGACCGGTTTTCATGAAAACCGGTGACCTGGCCCGGTCCCAAAAAATAAAATAAAAATTCAAATTATTTATATTAAAAAAAATCATAATTAACATATTTGAATATTTTTTTGCTTATTGACTTACATAAGTTAAATACCTATAGCACTAATATTATCTCAATTATGCATTATTCAGAAAATTTTGATTTGATTTATAGTTAGAGATGTCGTTTTTGAACCTAAGCCTCGTATTACGATCATTATATTTTTCTTTGATCTTTTATTGGATAATAATATGTGATTTATTATTTTTCATATTAAAATATTTGATTTTTTTTTTAGATATTTGAGTATGTTTATAATTTTTTAATATAAATTATAAAATTGCATATAATTACCAGGTCATGCAATTAAACTAGTGACCCACTGATTGAACCAGTAACCCAGTGACCCGGTACTTCGACCGAATCAATGATCGAGCCAATTTTAATAACATTGGTCTATACCATCCAAGAAATGTAAATGACAAGCCGTGTGGCAAGCAACGAACTATAGGACCCGGTTTGGATGGACATTTAAAAAAAATGATTTTAGAAGATTTTTTTAATAAAAATAAATTATTTTGAATTTAGATAAAATATGTTAAAATTACTTTAACTAAAAATAAAAATGGAAATTAAATTAAAAAATACATTTTTACATATAAAATTACTAAAAAGGATGTATGAAAACAAATCATGAAAGCAAGATTTGATGGTGACAATGGTGATACCCATGGTGGTGGAGACAATGATGATGGTGGGGGACTGGCGGTGATGACAAAGAAAATGATAGTAAACCGATGGCGCCAATAATAGATTGACTGAGGTTGAAGTTGCGGCAAATTTAAATTTTGAGAAAAAAAAATATATTTTTCTTTTAACCTTCGTGATTTTAAAAAGTTAAAAATTTGAACTTAAAAAAAAAGTAGGGAAAAAAGTTTCTAATGTTACTTTAGATAACTTTGTTTAATGTTCACTAAAATGACGTTATTTTGAAGTTGAAAAATCAAAAAATTAGAATTATAAACACTATTATAACTCTGAAATAAATTAAAATTATAAATACACCATGATTTCCGTCCAAAAAAACGTCGTTTCGATGAACTTTAGAAAAAACAAATTCAAAAAGTATGATTTAAATTTATTTATTTTTTTGTGACTTTTTGTTTTTTTTTTTAATGTTTATCTCTAAACGCTGTAGCACACCCAATTGGGCTTATCGAACGAGCTCTCAGCCTCTCACTGCCCATTAAAAATTGCATGCTAGGTGTTAGGGTAATTGAATATTTTGTTCCTGCCTCTAACTTAGCGGGAATAAACACTACCTCACTTGTACAGTTGTACTCCATAACTTGGGCAAAGCGGATCAAGATAGAATTAGAGCTTGTATTGACTTTTTAAGAAAAAAAAATTTATCACTTTTTTATTTTAAAGTACTTTCTATCAAAGTTATAGTTATTTAGATTTTTAAAAAAATATTTGAATTTTTTTTTTTTTATCCACTAGGATTAGCCTAGTGGTGTGGGGTGTGTGTTAGGTGTTTGTAGTAGGGGTGTTCACGGTCTGGATTGGATCGGTTTTGGAAGCAAAACTCATCCGATCCAATCCCTTCGGTTTGATCATATAATCATCTATTCGGTTTAGATTTTTTTTCAAATCCGATCCGATCCAATCCAATTTTTTTCGGTTTGGATTGGACCGGTTTTCGGTTTTTTGAATATCCTAAAATTAGTTTCATGATTATTGTGCAAATAATATTTTTTGTATATATTGGCTTTGTAAATTATTATTTTTTGAAATACAAAAATATCAGTAAACAATACTATAGTTGATGAGACATGACTAAGTTTTTTCTTGGATTTAGTTGATGAGTTAATGGGTCTTGGGTTTAGAAATTTCTGGGCTACGATGGGGGGAAAGGACCAAGTAAGTAGAGGAGAATTAATATATTGGATCGGTTTGGATTGGATCGGTTTTCATCAACCCATCCGAAAACCGATCCAATCCAATTAAAAGTTGCGGTTTTTTTTCGGTTTTCGGTTTTTCGGTTTATTCGGTTATCGGTTTTTCGGTTCGGTTTCTGCGGTTTGGATCGGTTGATGAACACCCCTAGTTTGTAGTGTAGTGGTGTGTGTTCAATTCACATGTAATGCAAAAAAAATATATTTGATTTTTGAAAAAAATACTTAGCTTTTGATTTCTGTTTTTTTTTTAAAGTTAAAATTTTTAACTTCCGAATAAAGTAGAATTTTGACTTTTTTTTATGATTTCTGCTTTTTTTAAAAGCAGATATGCAAACAGCCTTTTTTCGAGAAGCACTTTTTTTCCTAAAAAAAGTAGCTTTTGAAGAAAAAAAACTCATCCAAACGAGCTCTAAGCCTTACATTAAATGAGTGTGGACTATTTATCAAATATAAAGCCCCGGTCTGGTCTATTTATTTGATATATTTTTCTAATACTTCACTTGGCCTGAAAGCTTATTTGAAGTCTATTTTGTAATACATCGGAAATATTTTTCTCATATGTGAGAAAATATTATTTCATATAAAGATATAATTAGAAGAAAAAAATTATTGGCTCAAATTTCAATGGAGTTTAACATGAGATAGTACTTTATCATATAACATAACAAAATCATTACCTTATAAAAATCAACATATTTATCTCTAAATATATTAATGGGTTTAAAGGCCAATAAACTTAGCGTTTAGTGTTTATTTTTTTAAAAGATATAAAATTATATCATTTTAAATGAAAAAAAATATAAGTAATAAAAATTATGGGAGAAAAGTAGTTGGTTTTTTTTCTAAATTTAAAATTTAAATAAAAAATATTAATTTATATATTTTTCTCTCTTAAGATGAGATAACTATATCTACTTTAAAAGGATAAATATTTTTAGGTAGACTTAAATCTTTATATAACTCAATTTAAGTGCATCTAGTATTGACTATAACAAACCATTCCTATTTCTTTTCTTTTCTTTTTGTGAAATTGCTATTATTTATGGATATAACTTCTCCCAATAAAGTTTTTTTTATATACACTGTCGAACCCGTATCAATAACTTCCTTCGTCAACCATTCCAATTTCTACCGTATGAGCAATATTCAGATTTCAAGTAACACCATCGATTCCATTTCCATGCAATGCAACTATTCAGAAATCCAAAACTATGTCTATTTCACCATCTTTTCAGATTCAGAATCACGCTTAATTCTCTCTATTCATTTCCTTCATCGCAACAACCATTGAATCTTAATATTCACAATCACCACACCAAATCACTGTGCACTTATACACCTCCTGATTCTGATTCTTCAGACCCAACAACATCTCTTCCTATCGATGCAGGCTCTACTAACCGCAAACCCATTAGTATATGGCCTGGGATGCACCATTCCCCTGCCACACACGCTCTCTGGGAAGCCAGATCCACCATATTCGAAAACCCCGTTCATGTTAACGGCCATGGCACCTCTTCACAGATTCAACCCGTTCCTAAAACTCCATCCCGAAGCAGGACTAGTATCTTTTACAACTTCTCTTCTGATCATATACTTCGCGAGCAGTATAGGAACCCATGGAATCATATTAGAATGGGCAAGCTCGTCGAGGATTTTGATGCTCTAGCTGGAACCATTGCATTCAAGGCCTGATTTTTTTTTCTTTTTCTTCAAATTGAATTCTGGGTTTTGTTTATTTCGGGTTTTAAAATCTTGGGTTTTGATTATTTTTTAATGAAACTGATACCAAGTTCAAAAAAAAATTATGTTGTGCTAGTTGTCTAGATCGCTAATTTGTGTATGTGTGTGGGGCATGTGTCTTATGATACTTTGAGAAGATTATTTATGTTTGTGAGGCCTCTCCTTTGAACAGCACTGCTGCAATGAAGATGGCACAACGAGGCCTCTTATATTGGTCACTGCTTCTGTTGACAAGATGGTTCTTAAGAAACCAATCCATATTGATTCTGATTTCACTATTGTTGGTGCTGTTACCTGGGTTGGTCGGTCATCCATGGAGATTCAACTGGAACTGAATCAATCGGCTCAAGGTACTGTGGGATTTATACAAATTGATTATGCTTTTTTTAACCATTGTTTTTATGTGGGGTTATGGGTTCTCAACAATCAACGATGTATGCTTTTGATTATATTTGTCATTAAGTGCTTAGAAGCAGACAGAGGACATGTTACTGTATACATGTATTATGTGTCAAGAATTTTGCTCATTTGCCTTTCGTGTGAGTGTGTGTATGTTTTTGAATAATCCATGTTTACTTTCATTGAATGCAGCATGTAGTGATTGTCAAAGTGTGTTAGTGTGAGTAAGAATGCATTGTGTAAGAACTGAAACAGCTTCCTTTGATTCCTAAACAAACATAAGCATTTTTTGTCACTTTAAATATGTCCAAAACCACGGACTTAAGTTGGATGAGTGTGCACTGCTAGTAAATAGATAATCTGAAACATGTCATAGTTAATCTGAAACATGTTCGTGTCTGTTAAATTCTACATCCCAGTATGCTGTCCTGTGTGGATATTGTAAAATCCAAGTAAACTATGTAACATGTAGCTTGCTGTTCTTACAAACTTATCAACATGTTGCTGTAAATAAAAATGAAGAGAGATTAGAATAATGTCAAATAAAACTCCAGAAATGGAGTGGTCGAGCATTTTCTGATATTACCGAATTGGTTTTCTCATCTCATAATATAGTTCAATTTTGCTAGTAAGTAATGTCATAACAGCACGTAGAAATTGAGTACAAGGCCGTTCACCATGGTTTAGTTTTATAAGCTCAAATCAAATCTTGTAATGTTATGTCTTTTAATCCTCTAACAATTTTGCATGGTATCTCAGACTCACCAGCACTTGTAGCTAACTTCACATTTGTGGCTCGTGACTGTGCTACTGGAAAGGCAATCCCAATTAACCAGATCTCACCTGAAAGTAAGCAAGAAAGATTGCTCTGGGAAGAAGCAGAGCAGAGGAACAAATTAAGGAAAAAAAGGAAAGCTGAACAAAAACATGAAGAGAGTGGAGACACTGCTAGGCTAAGTGCACTATTGGCTGAAGGGCGTATCTTCAGTGACATGCCAGCATTGGCCAACAGAGATAGCATCCTGATGAAGGATACTTGCCTACAAAACTCTTTTATCTGCCAGCCACAACAAAGAAACATCCATGGTCGTATTTTTGGGGGATTCTTGATGAGAAGAGCGTTTGAACTTGCCTTTTCAACAGCTTATGCCTTTGCTGGTGCAGCGCCTCATTTCTTAGAAGTTGATCATGTTGATTTTTTTAAACCTGTAAGTAGCCACCAAGGAGACTATTGTTTCAATTATAATGAACTGAATTTCTTTCACAGGATTGATGTTAAAAATTAGTAGTACCTTGTGGTTGTTATAGAACATGGTCTGGGTTATGTGAACTCTCTTAAGGGAACAGATAATCATCAATACCTCATTTATGTGATTTTCTTTTTCCAATGTGTTTTATTTTTCACATTATCATTATCTGGAACATGGTCTGGGTTGAAAAATAGTTTATATCTTGAAAAGTTTATAGATGTATTCAGTAGAAAAGAACAAATAGGTTGGCATTTAAACAGGTCATTGAACTGAAAAGTACTTGATGATGCAGGTGGACGTTGGAAATTTTCTTCGTCTAAAGTCTTGTGTTTTGTACACAGAACTTGACAACCTAGCTGAACCTCTGGTGAATGTTGAAGTTGTTGCACATGTTACAAAGCCTGAGCTTCGGTCCAGTGAGGTGAACACTGGCCTTATATTTTACTTGAAGTTTAATTCTGGATGCATATAAATCTCCAACTACCTTAGTTAAGTAACGAAAATATATCTCAGAAAGTTGTCTTTTATAATTTTCTTACACACACACTGAGAGAGACTCACAGAAAGCAAAGAGTCCCAGGGTTTGTTGTCTGCAAAATTTTATTTTACAAATTCAAATGGATAAGCTAATATCATATTGAGAAAAATATTTCTGTTTTTGCTGCTGAAAAAAATTCTCTATCACACTCATATAAATGTGACAGAAAATTTTTCTGCAGTAAAAGCAAAAACAATAAACCCTATCATATTATTTATCTATTATATAATAGAATACAAATATCAATGTCGCACTTACTTTGGATATTCACTCGTACACATATTTAATCATTTCACTTCATTCCATGCTTTTCTTCAAACAGGTATCTAACAGATTCTACTTCACATTTGGTGTTGGTCCTGAGGCCATTAAAAATGGATTGAAGATTCGGAATGTTGTTCCTGGTACAGAAGAGGAAGCACGAAAGGTGCTTGAACATATGGATGCAGAGGACTTGAGTTTGGCTAATCAGGATAGTAATCTTCTCGTGGTCAAAAAGAACAACTGTATAGAGAAAACAAAGCTCTGATGGAGTATCTTGTACAATTTTCTTGATCATGTCTGAAATGTCTTAGTTTGGATGGAACTAGAGAGCGAATATCAGTTGCATGCTTTATTTTGTCTGGAATTTGAAGGAACTACTTTTCCGTTCATGTTTTGGGGTTTACAAGATAGTAGCATCTCTTGGTTTAACAGAGAACGTAATGGAATTGCTGGAGTAAAACGTTAGTCTATTTGGTGACACTCCATTAATTTCCTAAGGTAGTGTTTGGTTGGGGAGAAGTTAAAATTTTGGTGGCAAAGTGCATGTGGGAATCTGACTCAACCACGTTTGGTTGAAGTTTTGTGAAAAATTTCCCCAGCAAACAGGTTTCCCCTGCAATCCAAGAAGAAGTGTAAAAATTTGATATCGACACTGTTGAAGAAGCCGTTTCAACAGGTGGTATTGGTGTAGGATATCGGATAAGTGAAAAAGGTGGAGAATGGCACGACAAATATACCCCTCCTTCTCCACCATCAGTGACTCCTCCCCTGGTCACGTCCATTTTTCTTCTTCTTCTTGTTTGTGTTTTAGTGAGAGAGAAACATTTGATGATGTTGTCTTTTGAGGTGCCAAAGGGTAACAACAAAAGAAAGAACAGCATAACTTTGTTTATTCACTTGCATGTACTAATGGCAATACTGTTCATAAGGCAGTCCACCCCCCCCCCCAAGGTACACATTCACGGCTGAACAGAGAGTAGGGATAACTTAGAGTAGGGATAACTTATTACATCGAGGAGATGAGAGTGGGATGTGAGCTGAATGAAGGTTCCTTGTGAGAGTATGCTTGCGGTTCTTTTTTTTGTAGAAGTGTGACTGATATTGATCCATTTCTGTTTGATAATCGAAGAGCATAGGAGAGGTTTCAGTCTTTGAAATATCACGAGGTGAGTTCTTAGTCACCAAGAGGACTTGGCCGATCACAAAGGGAAGAGTTCAGTGTCCTATTTGGTGTGAAGGTGGCGAGCATGCAATGGAAGAGAGGAGATTTAGTTTGACACTTAAAGAGCATGCATAGGCTGAATTTGTTGGCGCAATAGAGAGGAACCACATTGGAAGAGGATAGATTAATTTCGGCAACACAGAGGGTCGAAATAGTTGGTTAAAAAAAAACCCAGATCCATGAAATCTTAAAACTACAAAAAATAAATTTCACAGCAAAGTTATCTCCATATAGCCACGTGAAACGATGTTGTGATGACAGCGAATACATGTGAGAAAATATTTAATTTTATAAAAAGGTTAATTTCGTCTTTTGCATTCTTTTTTCCATCACAATTTTATTTTCAACCAAACACATATCAGGATTTTTAACCCAATTTTTCTAGTAATATTTTGCGCTACCAAACAACTTTTTTTAAACTTTTCTACCAAACTAACTTTCCAACGTCTTTCCTAGTAAAAACAACTACCCACTTTAAAAAAATTTCTCCCCAACCAAACACTACCTAAGGCTTTAGGTTGCTGTGGTGTGGCCTATTATGTGTAACACAAGTCATAGACTGGCCATGGGAGAAAAATGTCTATTTCATCACGAATATTACCACAGCATTAGCCCCCGGTTGTGGATCCTCTCGTGTTTAAAAATAATCATATGTTCATATTGTTTGATCAGAATCACTTATCTAAAATTCACACACTTTTCTCTCTCTTATTTCATTATTAATAAGTGATTGTGATCAAATAACATGATCACATGACCACTTTTAAACATAAGAGGATCCAAATTCACTTTTACCATAATACTAAAGTCCAGTCTCTAGTCACAATCCTATATTTCAGAATGTCAAAGCTTGAACAGTGTCAAACCCCAACACCGGTTTTATAGATTGAACCGCCTGGTGGATTGACGGAGTAAGTATTGAGAAACAAGAGCAGCATCGACCACTCAGCTATGACTCACTGATTAAAAACACTAGTCTCGGGAATCTATTTGACATTGACATTCTCCACAGGGAGTATAAGCCACAAGCAAAAACATGAACTCCTCCCACAAACTAATGGCTTTCATGATTGAACAACCTTTATCATGGCCTGCCGCATTACTAACTTACTTTTTACTCACAAATCAAAATTCTCAATTTACATTAAAGATTAGAAAAACAAATACGAAATTTCTGTTGTTGATCATTTATACATACAATAAAAATGGGGGGGAAGGGGGGAATGTACTCAACTTATTATATAATCTAGGCAGTAAAACATATACAGAGTTTACTAGGCACAAAAACAAGTGCTAATGAACTATTATAGCATGAGCTTTTCATCATATGAGGTAGGGGTAAGCTTGCCTCAAGTTCAGTTTGGATTTGAGTGAAAATGTCACCTCATATGATAATGTTTGGATGGTAAAAATTCTAACCCATCAATGACCAAACATGGATAAACCAGTTGCAATTGGATTAGATCGGATTTAGGAGGTTAATCAGATTCTGAGGAATCAGAATGCTGCTTACCAATAAACTCAGGAAAAATTGCTGGCAGTATAGGGTTTGAAGGCATTACATATTGACGTGAACCAACTAAAGTCCTCTCGTTTACTTTCCCAACTTCCTTGCAAACACCATCTAGTATTGAAAGGAAATCCCTCACAACCATAAAAATTCTAAACGGACGAGCTTCTTCCTTTGCTGAATTTCCGTGGAAATACTCAGTTACCTCCTTTACTGAAGACACAGCATTTTTCTCTTGTTCCTGGATTCTTAAAATCTCTTCCTCTCCCCTCTCCAAGAAGCCTTTCATTGCCTCAGAAAATTTTTGGTTAGTTTCTCTCAAAGGTGACTCTTCATTCAATTTTACAACTTGCACAACTTTTTCAATCCCTCTGGCAAGTTTAGCAACATCACCACTGAGCATTTCTGAATCCATAGCAGCTGCTTTTTTAACACTGGTGAGTTCCCCACTCAAACCTGAAACAACTTGAAGTCCAAGTTTCCTAAAGTCAACTTCATCTTGAATAGTATATTGCTGGATTTTGTCAGAACCCAAAATATGAGAACCCTCGGTTCTCACAATTTCCTGTACAACAAAATGCAAGAGAGTAGTCTTTCCATCGGTTCCTTTGATATCAACTAACTTCAAAAGCGTATCCAGTTTGAATGCATGTGCATCACCACGATTGGTGCCAACATTCATTCGGTTTCCCGTTCTGAGCACTGCTTCAAGTATCTTCAAAAACATTCTGCTATTCCTTAATTCCTCACAAGCCACCTGTGGAAAAGGATGAATTATGAGAACTGCATGCCTTAAAATTTGTTTTCTTAACAGAACAAGAAAGTTATACAAGTCTGCTTTATGCCTACTTGGTGTTGTTTGTTTCCTAATCTCTAAGGCAAGTGATTTTTTGGCAAATTTATATCCTTGGATAACTTTTTTTTTTAAATAAAAGGATAATTCTGTTCTTTTTTTCCATATTATGCAGTATGATCTAAAAAGTGCAAGCCTGGAGTAGTGGTAAAACTGTTTTTTTTTTTACCAAGGTCACGGGTTTGAATATGGGAAACGACCTCTTTGCAATTATGCAAAGGTAAGTCTGTGTACAAGGATTGCCCTCACCCCACTCTTGCTAGTCGGGTTTAACGGAGAGTGATATGAAGTATGCACTAGTGTTGTGGACTAAAAGTTATTTTCACAATTTTAGATATTTAAAAGAAATAACCATATTTGGCTGAGGTAAGATGATTTGAAGGTTTGCCATCAGAAAGCTTCTAGCTTGCTAACCATTATTCTTGAAGAGAATGATAACTTCTTCCTTTTGATCTGACTACATACTTTAAAACCTCTATTCCAACATGACCAAGTAATTAACACTTACAATTTCTGCTGCAATACTTTAATATCTACAAAAGATAGACACACAATTTCCCTTTCCAGAACCAATATCCAATAAGTTGCTTCGCCCAATGTCATTCCAGTTACAATAAGTAGTAAGTTAAAAATATTAGCCAATGTTCAGCTTGGGTGAGACTGAAAGGTCATTCTGCTTCATAATATCCGAAAAATCATTATGCAAACAAAATGATCAAATTGATTGAGAGAAATGGGTGAAAATATATACCTCCAGAGTTTCAAAGGACTTCCTAAGATATTCTAATTCTGAATCAAAATTAGCAATGTAGAGCATGGCATCCACTCTCTTAAATGCAAAAGGTATATCAAGCACGACTTTAAGAAATTTCTCAGCTGGACCAAGCTTGATGGGCGATTCTTCTTGAAACTCTTTCAGCTTAGATTCTTCATCTTTGGTTGGAGCCATCTTTAATAAACTTTCCAAAAGTTCTGTTCCCAATGTATCACAATTGCCTATTGACAGCAAAGGGAAGTTTTACTATTTCACGGAGAAATAAAGCCACATACAAGGAGAGAAAAGAAGATAAACAGTGTTGTTCAACAAGGAAAAATAATAGCACACAATTTGTTTCATGAGAGATGATAGGGTGCTAAGATATGGGCAATTCATAGAGTAAGAGAAGAGTTTGATGTTGTGCCATAACGAATTGCCTATGAACTATGCAAAAACAGTGAAGATTGATGGAGATTGAAGAAAACTATAGTAGTGTTGCATCTCGTGAATGATAATGAAGTTTGAAATCACAAGACCAGCCACATATGCAACCAACTTCTTTTTTAACATGCTCATGCGGGCCAGACATGGATACATAAGCAATAATACAATAGGCATTTATACATATACAACAACGACAGTGTAATGCCAATGCCAATTAGATATTAATATCACGGAATTTAAAATCCCAATGACACTAAAGCATATCAGTATATAAAATTATAAAAAGCAGTGTCCTTTCTTTTCTTTTCTTTTCTTTTCTTTTCTTTTGGTATTAAGCAGTGTCCATATAAGACAAAATGAATAGTGATTCATCATCACCTTCTCTGAGGGCTTCACAAACTTCATCAATAGTTACATTTAGAGCCCTAAGCAAAATGGCAATGTTCTGAGACTTCTTAGGGTCAAGCACCCTATTTTCCGGTTGCATTGGTGAAGAATGAATTATTTGACGCCGAGCATTATCTCTAAGAGCAAGACCAGAATTTTCCTTGAAATTATTTACCATAAAGAGTGTCTCAATCATGTCCTCGTTCAATCTGCATCTCAGCTCCATTAACTCATTAAGCTTCCCACACAATTTGTTAGTTGTTCAAATAAAACAAAGCACAAAACAAAAAGAGAATAGAGGAATGCTACCAAGAAACTCTTTTTGACAACAACATATACAATATAATACAAACGAAATACGATGTTGACAATGTTTTGTGAACATGGACAAAGATAAATGATATCAAAATTTGTCTTACTGGAAAGAACTTGGTCTCAACCGATCCCAAACCATGACCCTGTCCGAGCTGGCTTTAACTTTATCCCAATGTAAAGCTTTCAACTTTGGCTTTGGAGTCTCCTCATTCTCATTCTTAACACCAACATCTTCACCCAATCTAGTTACAACCGGAGTCTCCCAAAACCGTGGCGGCGGAGGTGGTGGTGGTGGCGGCGGAGGAGGAGGCAGTTTAGTTGTCTGAGAATCCTTTCCCTGACCTGAAACATCCCAAGTTGAACTCAAATCCTCCCTTGGCTTCGGAGAAGAAGAGGATGAAGATAAAGATGGGGAACGAGGATTTTGAGGAGGCAATGATTTGATGCTTCTGGGGCTCAAATTCAAAGAAGGGGAACGAGACATGGAATTAGAAAGAGAGTTTGAACGAGGGTAAGATGGGGTTCTTGAAGTGAAGCTTCTGCTCCCAAATTTCTCCAAATGAAACACCTTTAGCGAGCGAGAGCTTGATGCAGCAACAACAACACCAGAAGGTGAAGGAGGACTCTGTAGTTTGTTCCCAGAAGACCCTCTTGGAGAAAAGAACTGTTCCTCTTCCTCTTCCTCTTCCTTTTTCTCTTCAACATCATCCCCTTCACTCGCCCACGCTCTGAAATTGTAGCGTGGCAGAGGAGGAAGCGGATTCAGTTCCGGCGAGTCTCCCAGTTTCCGGTACGGCGGCAAGAAACCGCCGTTGCTGCTGCAACTTGAATCTCCGGCTCCTCTTGCTTCCTCTGAACTCGCCACCGTACCGAGGTAAAGAAACTTGCCACGATCGCCGCCGTCGGAAGCTGCGGTGTTCGCCGGGAATAACCGGAGATTATCCGATCTCGAAGCCTTGTCGTCGTCATCGGGGGAGGCTGCGGAGGCGGCGTGTTTGTTTCGGAGGCGGTGGTTGGCAAAGGCTGTGGCGGCGGCGAGGAGAGCCAAGGAGAGGAGAGAGAGGGAGACGACGACGGCGATGACAGGGTTGTGGTGATGGGAGTATTGTCGGGGAAGGAGGAGGGAGGAAATGTTTGCAGGGAATGTGGCAACGACGGTTGGTGAAGGAGGGAATGGTGGGGTATGGTAGGAAGGGAAGAAAGGCTTCTGTGATGAAGAAGAAGAAGATGAAGAAGAAGAAGACGAAGAAAATGGAAGCTTGGGTTGTTGTTGTTGTTTTGGTTGAGGTTGAGGTTGAGGAGATGAAGAAGTTGGTGCTTGTGTTGGAGGATTAGATATTCTTGGAAAGAATGGTTGGTGGAGGACACGACGGTGGTGCTTGTGTTGAACAGTGGAAAAAGAACAACAAAAGAAAGAGAACACAAGTGATAACAAGAGAAGAAAGACCCTGATTGAGAACATGATGATGATGATGATGGTGTTTGTGACACAACAGAATAAGTCTTAAGTTTGCATATAGAAATGTTATAGTGTTTGAAACTGAAAATGAAAATAAAAGAAAGTGTTGGGACTGGTAGGGGAAAGAAGAGTAGTTCTACATACTCGTGTTAGTTGGTTCAGGCATCAATCAGATTAAGACAAGACCACCTTGTTGTTCTCATTATTCTCCTCTCTTTCTTTTTTTCCTCTGTGTGTTTTTGTCTTTGTGTTTTCTTTTTTCTTTTTTATTTTATGTTGAAGCAGTGAAAAGTTCTGAAACTAGCCCTGCCATATTGGAGTGGGACAAGTACTAGTTAGTAGTTATTACTGAGGGAGCTGTGAATTGAACGAGATATGTGAACTCTGCGTGCGAGATTTTAGCATGGTTACTTGGAAGGGTTTCAAATGTAATGTACATACACAAGAGGTTAAAGGCTAGTGTCTGACCCTGTGACAGTGACGGTGAAGAAGAGGATGAGCTGTTTGCATTTCGAGGACCTCAAAGTGGAAAGCAATCGTAGCCATGCTATTGCTTTCTCTCTCTTACAATCTAATCTCTTTCTCTGAAAAGTTGTGATCTTTTTACTCGTCACGGTGGATTTTGGACGAGCAAATATTCAAAAGTTATTTTGATTGCATGTCTTGTATGTTTATAAAGAATAAAGTGCATTTTAGGTAAATTGAGTCCTTTTCAGCTTACCAAATTTACTTCACTGCTTTAATTTTAAGTAACAACATTGTAATAGATTCTCTTGTATTTTTTTGTTCTTTTAATTATTTTATTTTTTTTGATAGCCAGTTCTTTTAATTATTTATTTATCTATTAATAAACACAATTTTAATTATTTTGAATGAGTAATTAAAATTATTCACATGAGATAATTATATTAAATTTAATATATATTTATATCTATTTTTGTAACAATTTTGTATCTATTGTTTCGTAGATAATTGTAAGAAAAAAATAGACCCAAAATTTATCCAAGATTAGGTCATTTAAAATTGATGCATGAGAAGATACTCTCAGTTAATTTAGTAAATAATTATTGATATGTTGGTTTAAATATAGTGAATCACTAATTATTGGTCCAAGTATAACAAAAAAAATATTCTCATTAATAAAAAATATTGAATTCAAACCTTGAAAATAAATATACGTCTCAAAAAAAATTAACACTACTCAAACTGAATTAAATCAATATTAATAAAAACATAAATATCATATGGCAACTCTCATAAGCAATGTTGTAAAAACCAGACTGGATTGATCCCGAACCCGATAAATTGGTCATCTGATTGATCCGATTATCACATTGGATCAGCTGAATACCATACCAAATGCTACCCGGCCGATTTTGGTAAAAATCGGTGATCCTACCCGGGTTTTTTAAAAAAAATATTTCCAAACAAAAAAAAAATCAATTTTTTTTTATAATTGACATATTTGAGTGATCTGTTACTTATTGACTTACATAAGTTATGTACCTACAATACTAATATTATCTCATTTATGCACTATGCAGAGAATTTTGATTTGATTTATAGTTAGAGATGTCATTTACTAAACTTGAAACACCAATATCACAAGCATTATATGTTTGTTTGATCATTTACTGGATAATAATATATAATTTATTATATCTTATATAATATTTTTTTCAGCTATTTGAGTATGTTTATTATTATTTTAATATAAATTATATATTTACATATAATCAGGTCATGTTTATCATTTATCACCGGGTCATGTTATTCAACTAATGATCCTCTGGTTGAACTAGTGATCCGGTATTTCGATCGGATCAATGACCGAGCCGATTTTAATAATATTGTTAACAAAGAAAAGGGACATCTTCCTAATATATGTCTCTTTTCGCCGAACTTCACTCGATTCTATTGTGTGTCTGTTTGGATGAGGTTTTTTTAATTAAAAGTTATTTTTTTAAGAAAAAATGTACTTTTACAATTTACTATAAATTTCATTTGGATACATGTTTTTAAAAAAGAGTAGAAGTTACAAAAATTAAATACTTTTTTAAGAATTTAAATAACTTTTTTTGGAAACATAAAAAAAATTAAATAACTTTAGTTTTTATAAAAAAAATATTTCTAAAATAAACAAAATATAGAATTCCTTTTTTTACAAGCTATTCAAACGGGCTATGACAAATATGTCTCTGCTTATGCTTTTGCTCAACTTTTTCGAATCGACAAATCTACTTCAATTCATTCCTCATTACATTCACGCTGTTCGTAATATTGATTTATTACGAAATGAAGTACAACACAAATATAAAAAAAAATGTTACAGATACAGGAAACAAACTATTCAAAGTATTATATGAATTTTTAAAACTTTATCACCTATTAGATCAGCTTAAAAATTTTATCCATAATACACACACACACAAAAGTTATAAAAAGACTAATTAGTTCTATCCCTTCATTATTTCAGTTCTTCTGCATGTAATATAATATACAACACAAGATGTGTAATAATAAATTTTACGTTATTTTATTTAAAACTGTCACAAAATTTTTAATCTCGTACATTAATTATTAAACAACTAACAACACAAAAAATTATATATAACTCTATAACAATATACATCGGTCGCAACATGAATTTTGCATCTCAATTCTTATATTCATTTAAGAGTAGAGTTATATTTATAAATTTTTCATTTATAAATTATATTATATATTTATAATATATATTACTTGAGCATATATTATCCGCAACACGTGTAGTTTATAAGAATTTGTAAATCAAATTTTATAAATATAACTATCCTAATTTAATCTTTAAAAATTATGTAAAACAATTTTATTGATAAATTTGTCCTCTTATGGCCCACCGCCTTCAATTTTATCCTTTGTGCTGGTGCGGCACCACCACTTTGAGCAGAATCAAATTGAATGAGATTGCCTCCAATTCTGAACAATCCAATTATCACGACAAGGAGGCTTTCAATTTTATGGTCCTTCATGTTTGAACTTCTTAATAAATGGCATTACAAAAGTACAATGCACTTTTTTAATAGTAATATAATTTCTTTATTTTTTATTTTTTTATTTAATGATGCATGTATTTCTTATAAGAGTGTGTCAAGTTAATTATGTACATTTTTTATAAAACTTTTATACTTTACTTTTAATTCTAAAATACTCGTACATTGTTGGAATTTATATATATATATATATATATATATATATATATATATATATATATAAAAATTGTATAGACAATCTATTGGTTATGAATAAGAAGTTTGGTAGTGAAAAAGTGTGCCTTTTCGTCGACAAACAGATGTATCTTTTCATCCTAAAGGATGTGTTGTTTCATCTGAACGGATGTGTTGTTTCATCTGAACGGATGTGTTGTTTCATCTGAACGGATGTGTTGTTTCACCCGAACAGATGTGTTGTTTCATCCTAATGGATGTTTTGTTTCATCCTAACGGACATGTTGTTTCATCCTTGAATGGGTGCCTTTTCGTGTTGGACGAATGTGTCTTGTCGTGTCCAACGGATGTGTTGTTTCGTCGTCGAATAGGTGCCTTTTTAAACGTGACCGGTCAGTGTATATAAATAGACACTGACACCTTCATAAAATGTATCCAATTTTTCTGCACTGAAACTCTGCCGGAATTTTTCTCCTTCCGGTTTTGCATGTTCCTTTTCATACTCCGGTGTAGTTTCCTCTGCCATTTTGTTGTGTTCGTTTGGGCTGTTGATTGGTAGTGCCACCATTCTTCAGACGAAATCCGTTCTATCCTGGGAGACAAGTGTCCATCAACCTTTGGCATCAGTGAGGGGGAAAATTGTCTTAAGGAGACACGTTCTGTGGGCTCGGATTTAATTCCTCTACTGCATACATTAATCTGTTCTGATTCTTTATACTGACTACAAGTAAGTCTGTTTTTATATTTTTTTTATAATTGCACAGTGATAATTCTGATCATCTACCTCCTCTGCCTTATACATGGGTTCAAATCTCTTAGTGATATAATATCACACACTGTCTTCATTAACAATCTTAAGACAATTTCGGTGTTTTGAACCTGTGATCAGTATATTCTGTATTTTATTTTATATACTGTTTCTGTTTTTATCTATTGTGTGATTAATTCATATGTGATTAATCTGTGTGATTAATTAATCTGTGTGATTAATTTCGGATTCTGTTTGTGTAACAGAAATGGAATTTATAATCTGTGTTGAGTGTTTGTTTTGTGAACATTCAAATGGTGGAATATTTATTTTGATATTTTATAAATATTAATATATGTTTTTAGTTTTTAGCAGTATCGATTTTTCTTTGAATATTCATCTGTGTTTGAATATTGGAAGTGACGCCTTTAATCTGCATCTAATTACGAAAGTATGGATTTTTCGTTGATAATATAGGATTTTCCTTATAATTGAATAGCGGTTTTTGTGTTGAACCGACACTGTTTTCCTTTGCTATAGTTTTGTGTTAATTTGCTTCTCGATTTTCGTGCTTCTTGTATAAGAAGTTAGAATTTTTTCTACTGTTGCCACATTTTCTGGTTTGTGTGCAATATTACGCATTCTATATCGTCTATATTTCATGGATTGAATTTGTGCTTTGATTTACGTGATTGAATATTGACTTTCAAATTCATTTCAATTCCCTGTACGTGGATTGTCTTTTATGTATATATATACATTACATGACATGATGAAATATGGAAAATTACTATTGTCGTTTTCATGCATTCTTGCCTTTATGGAAAACTTGTTTATATATAGTGTTTTCGTTTTGGGTGCTTCCATTAAAAGAATGGACAAGGTCTTTGTGGGAAAGACATTTATGTGCTAACTGTCATGAAAATATTGCTATATAATATCTTGAATTTTGTGAATCTTTGTTCTAATTATATGCATGACTTTATTCTAAAAGAATTGTTTCGTGAAAGACAACCATGATTTGTGATGAATCCGGTTTGATGGTTGATGGTTTTTCCAATTATATTAAGTCTTTTGTGAAATGGCTTTATATATTTATAAGCATGGTACCAAAAATTGATATATGACCTTTGGTTTGATGTGCTTACTTTGATGCTGGTTCAATGAGAAATGCAGT